CCCTGCATCAGCAGGTGGACTCTCAACCACTGCGCCACCAGGGAAGCCCCATAAGTATTTTTAATATTTTTGAATTTTAATTTGACTGAGAGTCTGAATTCAACTATGGACAGTTGAATAATTCATTTATCACCAATTTGTAAGTACTTCTCCTATGAGGAAACTTTCTGTTTTCTAAATAAGGGAAAGAGATGGAATAGATATCCTAGAGGGTTTTACCCAGCCCTTTGAGGTTTCACTTAAACAGCAGAACATAAGTATTTCATTCTTTTATGTCAGCATCTATGAACCTAGTAATTCATGTTTAAATGATGGCTTTGGAAAACATTGTCAAAGTTGCTGTTATGGAGAACAATCAGTTGATTACTAAGTATTACCAGTTGTCAAAGCATGACTTAATTTTTTATAAAATATACTCTGTGTCTTCTAATGTCCATGTCAGGAAATATTAATGAGAAATTATTCCTTATTAATTTTATGACCCTTTATAAATATTTATTGCTTTTCCTTTAAAAATCCTTAAATTTTGCAGATTTCTTTTTTTGTTTAGGAGTAGTATTAAGATCAACTTTGGACAACTCATGAGCTGATTGTTTAGACTGAGGAATCAACAGTCATTTTAGTACCTACTTTGTACACAGAATGCAGGGATCCAAGAAATGAATTGTCTCTCTTCTTCTAAGTTTTACAATCTTTTGGGGAAAACAAGATACACCTCCTACCCATCTACCGTACAACACCCCACATGCAAAGAAATAATCAATGCAGACCTAACTCATAATACCAGATCTGTCTTTCATGAGGTTGGTGGAACAGATGCCGAGTGCCGAAGGGAGGGGTCACTTCCCAGGGAGCTGGGCTTCTAGGCACAGCTTGTCTTGTGCCTTGGAAGCTCCTTGAGATCAGATCATATGGCTCAAGTCAGATGGAGACTTATGGTGTACTTGCTCCCCTTCAAATTGGAAGTCGGTGCTCATTAGGGTTCCGCTCCCCTGCCCTTCTCTTCACCTGCCCCTCAATGTCTATCCTTTCCTTTGGATTCCACTCCAGCTGAGTGCATTCCCACCCTCCTGCCTGAATTCCATGGTGACCCCCCCCCCCCCCCCCACCCAACTTCAGCATATTCTCACCCAAACTGTCCCTTTCTTACAGCTTCTCAGCAGTATCAGTGAGACTCAGAGCAGTTCTCCTTTTTGTCTCCTTTTCTCTTTGTGTGTGTCCCTTACATGGTAGATCACTATCCACTAATAGTTCTTCTCTTTTCTTTTCTTTTATTCTCTTTCTTTCTTTTTACACTTCATCAGTTCATTTTATTTTTAATATATTCTCAGTTATTCATGGCTCATAATGTCCTTCTGAGATTGAGTCCCTCAGAAGACCACAGGTGGTCACTAATTATGGCAAACTTGCCCTCAGACTTAATCTCCACGATGAGAATGTAGATATTTTTTTCTTTCTTTCAAACTCTCTGTCATACCTATTCCTGTTCCTGCTTCTTCTTCCTGTCACCTGTGCTGTGTGGGTCCCACTTATTCTGTTTCTAGATTATTTCAGTGGTGGCTCTTTTTCCTTCCTGAAACCATTGCTTTCATGACGTAGTCCTCCCTTCAGAGTTTTTTGGTGGTGCACTACATTTCTCATCACAGTAAGTCTGGTCTCTTCTTGCTGGCCTTCCAAGCCATCCCAGGCCTCTTATTTCCTGTATAATCTTTCCTCCACTGGTGAACCTCAACTATGCTTGGCTCATGCCTCTTTTAGTCAGTCATTCCTTCCCCCTCAACTGATTCAAATCCTATTTCAAGGCCCAGCTCAAGCCTGTTGATCTTTTCTTCTCCAAACTCAGTGCTCGTTATTTCCCGTATCATATATACCACAGGCTTCCTTTATTACTCCTGATTTAAATTTGTCAGGGAAGCCATTTTTGCCTATAGCACACAGCATTATGCTTAACATAATGTGTGGCACCAGTAAAAATTTGGGATTTTATCCTTTAGCTATATACCCATCATCTGTGGCTTAAATTTCCACATACTTACCAAATCTAAAATTATCTTGAAACAAGCATTATAATTTATTAACACTTCCCAATGAATTTAAAGGTTTATACTACATAGTTTGAACAGTTATTGGAATAATCACATTCTTCTGTGTGAATGGGGTGTCATCCTCACTGCTCTTAGTGGTGTCCATGCAGACCAGGAGCAGATTTCAACTAGTGTAGTGGGTGGTGTTTTCCATGTTAATAAAAGCAGTCATCCCTAAGAGTAGTTAACTTTAACCTCACAAGCCTGACTCCTAAGGGATGTGTGTAGAGTCATTTGACAATACAAGCCCAAGGAGAGATTGTTGTATCTTCTCGCTCCTGTTGGCAGCACCTGCCAAACCAGGTGCGCTGCACCCTCAGATTTAGAGGTGTGCCATACGCACTCTCAGGTGTCCAGACTTTCCACTTTGTGGTCTTCATTCAGAAGATGCATGTTAAGTCCAGACTCAGCCACCTACTCCCTGTCATTCCCAAGCGCCACACACTCACCCTCAGGATGCTGGGGTCATCCTGACCTGCCTTCTCCATAGGGAGTGACACAGTCTGACAGAGACAAGGATGTGAGCCGAGTCTGTGCACGCTACAGCACTGTGCCATGTTGTGCCTGTCCTACAGAACACGTACTCATGCTGACTGCCTTTCAGGGTGTTTCAGGTTGGAGGTCAGTAGTCTTTGGTTGTGGCAGAAGTGCTCAGGGCTGATCCCACCCTAGGAGCTCCAAAGGAACAGACACATCTACTAAACTTCCTTGCCCTGGCATACTCAGAGGTTGGCTGTGTCCAGGCAGCTGTAATCTGCATACCTGAGAAGCGTTTCTTCAGACCAGAGCTCTCCAGCGAAGTTCTCTGAAAGTGTGGGAGGAGCTGAGCAGAGGATAAGGACCAGGGACTTTGGCTGAATATTCCTTATGATTCTTAAAACTTGATGTGTCATTTATATAGTACCTTGTCTCCTGGTTTCAAGAAATAAGGGTGGTTAGGGAGGCAGGCAGGAACAGTGGCAGCTAACCCTTCCTGATGGTAGCAAAGCAGTTTTGTCTGAAGAGAGTCTGTGTACTTCCTCTTTAGGGACACTTCCACCCCAGGGCACCATGAACTCCTAATGAGCCATGCTTGAAAACCACTGATGTGTTCATCAATGCATTTATAGTCACACAGCATGCTATTTTATAATTGAATCAAGTGATCTCAGAAAAGTAAAATGACCACATAATTATTGGAGACCAAGATGGGCACCCAGGTGTCCTGATTCCTGGTGTAATTATTTCCTTATGATTCTAGGCTATATGTTTCTTTAACCACATCTTATCTTTAGTGCTTTTTGAGCTATTTTAATCTACAATAAGCCAAATCTCAAAATTGAAAAGTTAGTTAGTACTCCTCGTACTTATGTGCAAAGATGACACACGATTAATATTTTCAGACCATAGCTGGGCCAGGATTTCCTTAGTGTACATATGTATTAGTAATTACAGCATATTTCTGAAGCCAAACAGAACACCTCTTTATTTTAAACATTATATATCATGAACAATGTTTGCTATATGGACATTTATCACATTTTTAAAAATGGAATTAAAGCTTCTATCCAGAGTATGATGAAGTTTCAAAGCAAACAAGTTCAATGCTAGACATATTTTATATTTTAAATTATAAAATCAGAAATAAAAGCATCTTACAACTTAAAAACAAAGCTTTCATCAGTCATTCTGATTTTTAGCCTTTCTAGAGATTCTACTCCCAACAGGGTGTCCCTGAGTGCACAATAGGGTCTCAGTGCGTTCCTGGGCCTGGTGTTACTCCAAGGCTTCCAGGGATTGCTGTGTCTTACTGCAACTTGTGCTGTTCGCACACTCTAGAAACGCACGATCTGGGAGTACCCCCAGGCCCAGGCAGAGGGGCCTCAGGAACTCAGCATGCTTCATTGCATCACCACCCTGTTCTGCTGACTTCATTACACTTGGCCTGTTGATTTGATTGTCTATTTGATTTCCTGCTTATTGCCCCTAACGCAGTATGCATTGCCAGAGAGCAGGGACCTCATCTGATCTATTCATCCCTGTCTCTGTAGAACAGCACCTGGGACACATCTGATTAAAGTCAGAATGAGAAATGAATGCTGGAGTGTTTCAGTATTCGTCTGTGTTGTCCAAGATGCTAATTCTTTTGACTCACCTTATTCAGTTTGGGTCCCCTCTGACACTAATTTTGTTTACTGTTTAGGTTGCCTTTAACCACTTATGTCAATGCGTTTATATTCACACAGCAAGAAGCATTGCACAAGGGTTCTTGTTGATTAAATGAATAACCATATCTTCTTGTTTTCATCTGTCTCTTACATTCAACTTGGCCAGTTTAAATTAGCAATGCTTCTACATTCCTAAACTAGTTATAAATCTCAACTTTTGTTCCATAGGATTTTATTTCTCTTCTTAGCAACTTGGCTTAAGCCTTTGACCCTTGATTCTAACAGTTTGTATCATATTATTATTCTTGTTCATTTTGTAATCTCAAAAACCTAGATATTAAGAAAAGGGGCTTAGAAATAACATTAGCTTAAATGGGATAAATCAAACTTACACATTTTGAAAGCTGTCCAGATAATAATCAACTTTGGTTGAATATGCTGGTTGCTGTCAATTTTATATGAAATGTTGGCAATTATAAGTATACTCACCGTGCATACCACACTTCCTAGATGCTTTTTATTCTCTGGTTCTCATAATGACCCTGTGAATTGGGGCTGGAAGGTTCTGAGGATGGTGAGAGAACTATTAAAAGATTGAATAACTGAAGTTTGAAAAATTAGAGTAACCTGCCCAAGGGGGCCAAGACTAGAACTTAAGTTCCTAATCTGGTGTTTTTTCAAGGTACAAAACTGAGAGTAACAAGAAAAGTCAACGTGGTTTCTGTATGTGTCTTTTACAAATTACTTTGGAAATAAAGATAAAAGATCATTATATAATGAAAATTTTAATATATTATATGGTTTTGTTAGGGTCTAGTACATAGTGAATACTAATAGCTTTATGTTAAATTGAACTGAGTAAAAGGATACATTTGAGCAAATTAGGGCAAAGAAAAGAGGTACTAACAATGACCAGAGGAGCAAAAATTTTTTTAAATTTATGCATTAGGTTTACATTTACAAGGTTTAGTCAAGGAAAATTAACATATATTTTAAGCAAACTCCACTGCTTCCCATAAAATCTTTTGATCTTGAGCAAAGAATAATGAGGGTGATCTTAAAATACTGTTAAACTTTTTAGACTTACAGAGAAATTTTAGACTTACAGAAAAATTACAAAAATCATATAGAATTCACATATACACTTCTCCCAGCTTCCCCTAATGTTAATAACCACATACTTAGCCATAGTACAATTCTCAAAACCAGGAAATTAACTTTATAGTAGTGTTTCAATTCCACACATATAATTAATAAAAGGAACTAAAGCTAAGACAATAATTAAGTTTATTTATACCAGTAATTGTATCATAGGGTCTTATAGAAAATTAATAAATTATTGCTTTAACAGTAGGATAATAAACAGAACACTAGTTCATAAATTCTACCTATTATTTTTTCCTGTTATCAACTTCTTGGTCTTGAACCATAATATACATAATTTTTAAAAGGACTTAGGGAGTTCTTAGCTAATAGCAATACTAAGATCTGTTGTAAAGGACATGCTTATTTTGTTCCAGATTCTTCCAGTCTAGTTCAGTAGCACACAACATCCTATTCTCATGAGAAAACTGTGCAATGAGATGGCCTCTTTCTAGAGTGTAAAACTGAAACCTTCACTAAAACTGCTAGAAGACTAAACCTTGTAGATATGTCTTTGGTTGTTCTTATGTGCATTGGCGAATCAGGTTGGCTAGCATAATGATACTAAGTATAACATGACATTATATCTCTCTTATTGATGAAAGATGCTACTGAAACAGATATGTGAGTATAATTTACAAATGACAAAGAAAAACGTGGAATTACTTGATATTTTGTGGTTTAAGAACGACACTTGAATATGATCTTATGCATGAAAATGCGTAGGGTGATATTTCTCTTGTTTTAATATAGTTGTTTTCAAGATGAAGATGTTCCAGGGTTGAATCACCATCTTCTTCAGAATTGCAAATTTGTTCTGGAAGAATATTCCTAAGGAAAAATAGACATGCAAGTCATAAATGATCCAAGTAATATTCTGCCTTCATAATTTAGAAGTTAAATTTTACATTTGTTTTAAATCTCTTTTGTTTTTAAAATAAAATTGGATCCTTTTCTTATACACCTGAAAAAATTTCAAATATGTCAAAGATCTACATGTGAAAAAATGAAGCCATAGAATAGTAGAATAAAACATGGTCATACCCTGGGAGTGGGGGAAAAATCTTCCTATGTGTGACTCAAAAACCAGATGCACTAAAAGAAAAGATTAATAAATTGACTACAGGTTTTTTTTTTTTTTTAATGCAAAGTTAAAAGACAAATCACAAACTAGGAGAAAGTATTTGCAACTTATATTACTGATAAAGGGCTAATATACAAAGACCTAAAAACCTAGGAGGAGAGGGAAATGAGAAAAAAAAAAAAGATACCTGGGTAACCAGTTTACAGAAGAGAAAATGAAATGGCATGTAAACATGATGCTTAATTTCATTCATGATAAGAAAGATGTAAATTGAAATGATACTGGCATACCACTCTCACTTACCAGATTTGCCCAACGCCCTCCCAGAAAAATCCAAAAGTTCATTAACATGTTCTGATGATGAGGCTCTATAGGATCAAACATCACTGAAGGAAATTCAAAACAGTACAGCCCCACGGATAGGAATTTGGCAGTATCTAGCAAAATTACACGTGTATTTTATACCTTTCACTCAGCAATCCCACTTCTAGGGATCTATCCCAAAGTTAGATTGGAAAAATACAAAATTACATTTGAACAGAGTTGTACGTTGTGGCATTATTTATAGTATAAAAAAATGGAAACAATCAAATGTCTATCAATAAGGAACTGGTTGAATAAAATGTCCATATAGTGGAATACTATTCAACTGTAAAAAGGACTGAGGAAATTCTCTACTTACTTATATGGAGTGCTATCCAGAATATACTGACAATTTTTAAAAGTGAAGAACAGAAAAATATACACTCTTTCCAGAGAGAAAAAAATAATAATCATTTGGTGTAATAATTTGTATAATAATTGTGAGAGGCAGTGGGGAATATGAATGCATGTATGTATGCTTATATTTTAAAAAAATAACACTGGGATCATCAATGGGAAATTAATTTAAAAGTTTAGGGGCTTCCCTGCTGGCGCAGTGGTTAAGAATCCGCCAGCTAATGCAGGGGACATGGGTTCGAGCCCTGGTCCAGGAAGATCCCACATGCCGCGGAGCAACTAAGCCCGTGCGCCACAACTGCTGAGCCTGTGCTTTAGAGCCTGCATGCCACAACTACTGAAGCCCAAGCGCCTAGAGCCCATGCTCCGCAACAAGAAAAGCCACTGCAATGAGAAGCCTGCGCACTGCAACAAAGAGTAGCCCCCGCTCACCGCAACTAGAGAAAGCCCGTGCACAGCAATGAAGACCCAGTGCAGCCAAAAATAAATTTTAAAAAACTTAACCTATGGGAAAGGGTGGAGTATGGTATAAGGGACAGGCATAGAAAAATATTATATAGAAAGTAGCAATTCCTAAAAACCAAAGCAAATTAAAGACCTATCTGAATATTAAGTTGTTGACCTATTGTTACAGAGAAAACTTCTGTATTTAAGCTATACATCCTTCATGGAACATATTCTTAGGACAAGTAGAACTACTAAAAACATAAAAACTTAATTAAATACTTTTGTTGTTAGTTGTAATAATGGTATTATCATTTTGAAACTATTGTTTATAGTAAATATAAGTTATTGTTGGGAACCTAGATTTTCAGTGTAAGATAAGCAAGTTTAAAACAGAAGAACTTCTCTATAACATTAAATTTGACTTGGGAATATCAGTATGAACTCATTTTTTTTCTTCACAAAATACATATTTCTGGCAGTCCACTGAAAGGCCTTGAAACAGTAACAACACATTTGAAAGGAAGATGCCTGGTGCCCAGATTGGGGCCTCTGAACACGATTCCCCAGTGAGAGGAGCTAGGGCTCTTTGGAAGAAGGCTGGCATCGGGCTGTAGTGGGGAATATAAAAGTGAGCCATTCAAGATCTACAGAGGCCTATCCAAGGACACAGGAACCAACTCGAAGGGCTACCATTGGCCAAAGATGGGACAGTTTAAGAACAATGATTGCAGTTGATTGAAACATTCTTAATATATAAAGCCATAAGTTCATATTGATTCTCCAGAGAAAGAGGAAGCCAAAAACAAATTAATAAAGCAAAAATATTTAGGCACCAACTTCTTTTTTATCCTGAGACAGCCACTGTTAAAATTTTAATATATTTTATAGTCCTTTTCCTTCATGTTTAATGCATATATATAATTTTTTCCAGTTTTATAAAGATTGGCATAACATTGTATTAGTTTAAATTGTACAACGTAATGATTTGATGTATGTGTATGTGGTTGAAATGATCACCACTGTAAGTTTAGGTAACATCCATCACCTCACACAGTTACAAATCTGTAACCAACTTCTTACTCTGCTAGGCAGTTTAAAGGAAAGAACTGAGCCTACCTTTCAGAGTAACAAAGTTGCCCTAACTGAAAAGAGAATATTATTTACAGAGGAAGTCCAGCTATAAAATGTGGAAAGAATGACAAAAATAGAAATTCACCATTTTATTACCCCTAAGGAAATAACAGATGCAAGCAATAAGCATCTGTGAGTGAAAAAACCATTGGTTCAGTGGTGGAGGAGAAAGGTTATAATGGAGATATCAGGCCGTGACCGCCTAAATCCCACCAGAATGGAACAGATATTGTATGCCTCCTGATGCAATGCAATAGGAAGCATATAAGCATGACCTAGGAATTATTTTGGCCCAAAAATTTTGACTCTGAATCTTTAAAACCTTTCCCATCCCCACCTCTTCCCCTATAAACTTTTGACTCTTTCTTTGTTTTATTTTTCAGGAGTTTGTGTTTGGAAATGTAGAGACAGGTAAAAGAGTAAGGGGTATAATCTCCAAGGACAGGACCACAGAGCTCTGGGATCTGCCTCCCTCGTTGGCTGCACTAACAAAGCGTTCCAGATTAATTCTTGAGACATTCATACTTTCAAGGCAGGGGTGATGACTCTGTCAGCAGATAGAACACACACAGAAAAAGTATCCTCAGAAGTGAGGGAGCTGAGTCTCAATAAATTTATTCAGAATTTTGTCTTCAGAAAAATCTTGATAGAAGCAATTTTAATTTTAGCCTATACTTAGGTTTTGTGTTCCACAGATTACAGTGTTTGAAATTACATATGGAGGTGGGATTAGCACCATAGTCTACTGCATTGAAGCCTCACTTGAACATGCCTCTAAGGTTCTAGGTATTATATAATCATACTCTATTTTTACATTTTTTTACTATGGAAGTTTGCATACATAGAAAAGTAGAAAAAACACTATAGTGAATCCTTACATACCTATTATCATCCAGCTTCAACAATCATTAACATTTGCCAATCTTGTTTAATGCAACCTCTTGTCACTTTTTTCTTTAAAGTAAATTCCAGACATCATGTCATTGTTGTTTAATCCTATATTTTGTCACCCATGACAATTTAAATGGATACTTGAAAAGGCCAGAATTTACCGTATCTTGTTGTTGTTCAATCTCAGAAAATGTAGTGCTTTCATTTCTGGTACCCCAGGTGGTATAGATTTTAATTCATTATGATCCAGAAACAGCTCTCGCAGAGAATGATAAGCCCCATAGAAGGAAACTTGGTCTATGCCATCATCCACAAGTTTATTAAATGACAGGTACAGGTATTCCAGGCCTGGTTCCATGTGACCAAACACAAAGCCAGGGATGCGCTCTATCTGGTTGCCGATGAGCACAAGGTGCAGCAGCGACTTGGGTAGATAGGAGGGGACGTGGTAGAGCTTGTTGTAGGAGAGGTCAATTGATTCTAGATTTCTAGAAAAGAGTAAACAGAGTGGGAACTTCAGGGCAGTGACTGTAAGCTCTAAGTTTTGACAAGCCAGTCAAGATGCTTGTCCATTTTCCTGCCAGTACTCAGTGTGCTGTAATGATTCCCAGTGCAAGTGTGGCTATATGGTGGTCTGGCTGCAAGGCTAGTGCTCTTACCCGGGTACCACACAGCACCAGAGTTCAGAGAGAAAAACTCATATCCCAGGGGTAATGCTGAGACCCAAAGAGGTCCCCCAAATATCTCTAAGGTCAAACTTGTATCAGAAATGAAGTCCAGAGTCCAAGCTGACATCAAACCGTAATATCATCTCTGGTTCCAGCAAGAAAGTAGCAGTGTTGAGGGGTTTTTGCATTCTTGTTCCACATTTGATCTGATGACCTGGGATCTGGGACTTGGGGTGAGAATGAGGCATCTAGAAAAGGTTGTTAATAAGCCAGAAAATCTGGGAAATGTGGTAAACTATCTGGCTTTTTTCAGAGCCTTACCTGCGGCTTCTGCCCACCCCATGAAGACTTTTCACCTGATGAAGGCTCAGTTGCCCTGCCACTGCCACATCCTGCTGAACCTAATTGGCCCTCAAGGCCTCTTTTCATCTCTCTCCTGCTTCTGAAAGATGCCTGTCCCCATGGTGCCACTCAGATCCCTCATTCCCTCACCACATGACTCCAGATTTGCTCTGATGCAGCTGCTGCCAGGGCCTGACGCTGCTTCCCTGTGTAGCTAATCCTCTCCTTCCTGATGAGCAAGGCCTCCACACTTTGCCCTTCACTGAGGCTACAGCCTGGGGCCACTGATTCCTCTCCAGGAAGATGGGCTCTGCTTTTTGCTTCTGCTGTTGGGTCAGGCATTCTTTAGTCTGTTTTGTAGCACTTGAAATAGAGAAATAGTTTGAAGGAGTGAAGACAGTGTGGTATAGAAGAGTGAATGCTGGTGCTTCCACCTAATGGTGAGGGAGAAGGCGGGAGGAGGGCAGCTTCTTTCCTCACTATGGGATTATCTCACTTAAACTTCATGACTGCCTGTGAGGTCAGCAGAGAGCAGAACAGTGATCAGACCTAAGGTCACACTGCTTGGGCTTAGCACTTGCACACTGTAGGGTGTCCCCAGCAGCAGTGACCATGGCCATCCTAACATCAGTCATATCTTGAGTGGTTTGAAGTCTGTGCAAATAGCCAAGTTTTATGTAGGGGGAGGTTCACTAAGAAAGAATGCTGTCACCTCCCTCACTTGCCCATGTTCATACCCTGTTTAATAATGGCAAAGGAAAGAAATCATCTAAGAAAGTCAGATTGTAGCATGTACTTACTCTTGATTTATCCAGGCTAAAGAAGCAATTCTATTTTCTTCAATTTTATTATAACGTAGTACAATGACATTGATCTTTCTGGTATGATTAAAAGAAATTTCAGTTATTTCTTCAATTTGGTTATTTTCTAGGTATAATTCCTATAATTAAGAGAAGAGACTTATTTTTTTCATATTAGTTGATAAATATATTCAATCTCACAGAATTAAAATCAGGTTATAGACTGTTGTCCCTAGTGTTAGCTAAAGAGTCTTGCAGCACTTCAAAATGAGTTTATATTTTTAAGTTGTCAGATTTTCTAACTAGTAAAATAAAATGTACTGTCTGTCATGGTTATGGAATAAATGAATTTTATTTAATTATTTTTTAACCATAAAATGATATATGATATAGCATACCATAATAATTGTATAAAGCTTTCTAATTTACAAAACTTATTCACATAAATTATTTCATTTGGGCTTCAAGATCCTAGAAAGTAGGAAATAAGTAGAAATTATCACCATTTAGCAGTAGAAAAACTCAGGCCTGGAGAGATGGCAAGATGTTTGCAAGGTTACACAGCTAATACATGAGGGCCCCAGCTTAGGTCAGCCTGCTTCCTACCAGTCCATGCTGTCTGTAATTTTTTTAGGCTCACATTTTTTAGATTTGTTTGTATTATAATTACTTTAATTAACAGTTAATTAAGAGCCTTCATTTAACATCAGGGTGAAGTTTGCTAGAACCATTAGTAAGTTTTCAACAGCTAGCTGCCTTCAAGTTAAATTCATTTGGCATTACAAGGAATTTTTCACTCAGGGATCTTGTTGGAATTCAGAAGTACAATTGGTATATATATTCAGAGCAACTTTCTATTCCTGTTGTAGTAATTTCCCCCTCTTTGTCATTTAATTTTGGTATTGTTGGAAGTGAGTAAAGTGATTTTTAGCTTTTTGCTTTTACCTTCATACATATTTAGGGGTGAACTAGATCAGTGGTTCCTAAACTTGATTGTATGTTAGAATCACTCATGAGCTTTTTAAAGTATAAATTCCAACCTAAATCAGAGCACACTCATTTATACGTTGAAACTGCAGCTGTGAAGCAGTGCATTGGAAGGATTCACAGTACATGTACTTGCATGGGCAGCACCTCCCAAGAAGCTAGCGAGAGGGTCTTTGAAAAGAGAAACCAGGGATGAGAGGGTCAGAGGTGGAATACAGACACATTGCTCTTTTGCACTATTCAAGTGTTGTGTGTGTGTTTTACTGTGTGCATGCATTATCTATTTAAAATTTTAATTTTTTAAATATAAATTGTTGACCCCATTCTCCAAAGAACCTGATTTAGCATGTCTGGGATAGGTCCAGGAATCTGTATTTCTTTAGAATCCAAGTGATTCTGAGGTAAAGCCAGGTTATAGAACCTCAATCTTTACAATTTTGGTAAATTCTAAAGGTCTATCTTAATCTGGAAGTAGGAAGAGGAAGCATGGTGGCTGTGGTAGCAGCAGTATCATATTGAGATTAATGGCCCTCTCTTGGCTCACTGCATCCACAACAGTGGGAAGCTTCGTCCTGCTGTCTGATTGTGTATGTGGCAGAAACAGAGCTCAGAGGAGGTGGCCTAGGAGTCAGCTGGATCTGCCAGGCCTCTTTTCTTAATGCAGGAAGTTGGGGCATACACTCAGCAGGGAAGACCCCCAGAGTCCCCCCTTAGTTAAGTGTGTTCCTTGTTGTAGCAAGAGAGACCACACACTTGGGCAGCAGGGAGTGTCTCCAGAGGGGATGGAGACACGACAGTGCTTGGGCCCTTGGTAGGAGCTAGTTAGAACTAGTAAGCTGTGGGAAGGGGGTGGGGGTGGGTGCTGCTGGCACAGTCAGCAGCCTTCTCTGCAAATCTTGTCCATCTTCACAGGGTCAGTGCTAGTCCATGTGGGACTCTGGGTGGAACAGACTGGGATGAATGTCACAGTTCCAGTTTGAGACAGTTTTGCAAGTCAAGGTACTTTTTGCAAGTTGTAGTTTCTGTTTGAATACTCAGTTCATCTTCCCTGTTCTCTCCCCAAGAGCCGTCGGCAGAACCAATTTTCACTTTATCAAGATTTTCTACTAGTAGTTATAATTTTGACTCATAATTTTGTATTGTTTGAAAACAGTGCTCAGATTATAGTAAATTCTGTATATAGCACCAAAACTATTGAGTTTAATATGCATCACAATAACCTTTTAAAATATATTGTTTGTTTTGTCATAGTGTACTGTATTTAAAATATAAAATATTATAAGTAAGATATTGGTACCTCAATAGAAGCAGGAAGACCCTGTGGTATAATTCTAAATTTATTTCTTCCCAGACGCAGGTAGGATAGGCTCTTCAAAGGTTTGAAAGCTAAAGAATTGACATTAGTTTCACTGAGACTGTTTCCTTCCAATTCTAAGGTGGCCAATTGATTTAAGTCTATAAAAAAATAAAATTATTGGGACATTAGAATAACTAAAAAACATGTAATTTCTATAGGCTTTCAAAATATCATGTGAAATGTTCAGTTTATTTGGAGGACTGATGTTGTAGCTTCTTTATCTGTATCCCCCGCCCCCTTAGAGCCTTTTCCCTAGTACTTTGCAAATCCCAAATGCTCAGATCAGCCAGGACTCAATGCTGAATGTATGGTCTAGGAGAGGCAGACCTGTAGAGAAATCACTGTTGTGCTGTATGATGAAAGTTTGTAACCCTCATACAAAAACCAAAACACCACACACACAAAAAAAGAAAAAAATATAGGCAAATATCACTGAAGAATGTATATGCAAAAAACCTCAACAAAATATTGGCAAACCAAATTCAAAAGATCAAGTGGGATTTATCCCAGGGATGCAAGGATGGTTTAATATCCACAATAAAAATCAATGTGATACACCACATTAACAAATTGAAGAATAAATGTCAAATGATCTTTTATTATAGATGCAGAAAAAGCTTTTTTGACAAAATTTAACATCCATTTGTGATAAAAACTCTCAACAAAGTGGGTATAGAGGGAACATACTTCAACATATAAGACAAACCTACAGCCAGTTTCATACTGAATGGTGAAAAGCTGAAAGCATTTCCTCTAAGATCAGGAATAAAACAGGGATGCCCAAACTCACCACTTTTATTCAACATTGTGTTGGAATTTCTAGCCACAGCAATCAGACAAGGAAAAGAAGTGAAAGGAATCCAAGTTGGAAAGGAAGAAGTAAAATTGCCACTACAGGCAACATGATACTATATACAGAAAATCCTAGAGACTGCCACCAAAAAACTATTGAACTAGTACATGGATTTAGTAAAGTTTCAGGATACAAAATTAATATACAGAAATCTGTTGAGTTTCTATACACTAACAACAAACTATCAGAAAGAGAAATTAAGAAAACAATCCCATTTCCATCAAAAAGAATAAAAACCTAGGAATAAATCTAAACAAGAAGATAAAAGACCTGTACTCAGAAAACCAAGAGACATTTATGAAAAAAAACTGATTGAAGGCAACACAAACAAATGGAAAGATATACCTTGTACATGGACTGGAAGAATTAATACTGTTAAAATGACCATACTCCCTAAGGCAGTCTACAGATTCAGTTCAATCCCTATCAAAATACCCTTTTGCACAGAACTAGAACAAATAATTCTAAAATTTGTACGGAAACGCAGAAGACCCCAAATAGCCAAAACAATCTTGAGAAAGAAGAACAAAGCTGGAGATATCACACTCCCTGGTTTCAAGCTATAGTACAAACCTACAGTAATTGAAACAGTGTGGTACTGGCACAAAAACAGACCCATAGATCAATGGGACAGAATAGAGAGCCCAGAAATAAACCCATGCATTTATTGTCAATTAATCTATGACAAAGGAAGTCAAGAATGTACAGTATGGAAAGGAAAGTTTGTATAAGGAACAGAAGCCAGAGGAGGGAGTTGGGGGGCCAGGGCACCCCACAGAGGAAGCAATGGCCAAGCAGTGACTTGGAACGCAGGCAGATGAGAAGTAGAAGGTTGTAGAGGGTCATTCGAAGTATTTGCAAAGACAGACAGGTATGAAATGGCAGCATAATCAAGGATGTATGAGGAATGTAATGCAATGGGTGGTTCCTTTTTCCAGGACACTGAAGGAGCACTCTCTGCCTGGCAAACCCTCAGTCTCTGAACAAGAGAATTTTAGCAGTGAATTCCCATCACAGTGTTCACTCTTGGCAGACAGTGCAGCCAGATGGACGTTTTGAAAGGAGAATGATCAGAAATTCTCCACACATTCAGATTGAGCTACCAAGAAAGGCCTTTTTACAAACAAGATTTTTCTAAATTGTTTCTACTGGTCTCAGGAGTGGTATGACCAAATCAACTGGAAACTTAAAGGAAAATGGACAGCTCAGCAGTGAAGATACCCAGAGGTATCTGAGTCAGACATTCAGGGTTTAACTTTGGAGTTTGTTCAGTGGCCAAAATTTTCAGAATAGGGGATGTTTTCATATTCAACTCAAGTCATGGATACTGCACTGAAATGCTCTGTGCAACTCAGATCCTACTCTTAGGCATATCAGAGAAGTAAAACATAGTCTAAGGATAAACAAAAGATACTACCATCAGCAGTACAGATCATAGATTCTAGAACATGACAAGGAGGAGGTGGCAGTGTATACCTGAGTGGTACGGAAGTGTGAGTGGGGCTAGATTCTCAAGACAGAAAGATGTAGGTAGACATGGGAGGGTGAGGCAGCCAGGTGAACTCATGGAAGCATGAACCCACATGGGTGTGCTCAGGAGTAGGAAAGAGACCAGCCCTGGAGTGGGCCATATGCAAGAGGGGATGAAGGTTGTTGAGAGGGCAGAGGTGGGCTGTGCAGGGCCTTTGTGCACCAGAAAATAAGGTCTGACTTTCCTTCTCTAGGCAACAAGCAGCCTCTGGATAGGGAACAGCATGACAAAATATTAATCTGCTGGTGTTTTTAACATCAGCTGAAGGACAGAGAGGAATTATGGAGGCCAACTAGTAAATTATGATAAGTGATTCTATTTCCTCATATAACCAAAACTCTTTAATTTCCACAACTACAGATACTGAGAATCCAGCATAATTATCTAGTACATAGTTGAGGTTTTGGAATGTAATACAAGTTTTCAGAGGAAAATAGATAATAGAAGTAGACTGGTGGTCATTACATGACCTCACAAGAAAGAGAAACAAAACACAACAATGTAAATTAATATTATACATTACTTTACGGTTATTCTCTGGCTTATGTGTATATTGTATATACATAGATAGTATGTACGTTCCTATATGTAACAGGCAACAGGATGGAGGTAGAGAAGGTTCTTGTAGGTTAGACTGTGGCAGAAAGAGGATTTATTAGCAGGAAGTTGGTAGGAAGTCCTTCCCATTGTGGGCGGGGAGCTACATAACAGGTTATAGACATGGGTAGACTTGTGTGAGAACTTGATCTCATAGATATTCTGACTGGATAGCCACACCACCATCATTGCTAGAAAGGACACCATGATCATGGGTTTTGTTTTGTTTTTAACATTAATGAAGACAGGAACATTTTTTAGCATGTCCAGTTTTCTCCTGCTATCCCTCCCTTCTATTTTTTCACCTTCCCTTCAATTTTAAGACCTTCCTTTTCTCTATAGTGGGTATGCACATCTCTCAGTGCATTCTGGATGAACTCCCAGCACCTTGGCATAGCATGTGCAGAGCTGTCTGTTGTGTGGTTCCTTCCTACCTTTTCACATCATCTTTTGTTCTTCACTCCCCATCACACACTGCATCCAAGATCCATGAAACTGGATTTCCCATAGCATCCAAATTGTTTTGTTTCTTCACACTTTTGTACATACTGCTTCTCTCCCTGGAGTGCCCTGCTTCCCCACTTCTCTGGAACTATATATATAAAACCTGAAGGGTCATGAGGGAGCTAACAGAAGTGCTACAGACCACTGATGGTCAAGCCAGGGGCTTCCACCCAGAAAAGCAGTGTCACAGCACTGGCAGTGGCCTGTGCTTGGGCTTGCCTTGCTCACTGCCAGCCAACCTGACCATCCACAGCAGTGGGACTCACAGGAGTTGAGGAACCCCAGTGGCTACAGCAGTCAAGAGAAAACCCAGTACCTGAGGGGCCAGCATTAGAGCAGAACTAAGAACTCAGTACCTGAGGGACCAGCACTGGAACGGGACTAAAGACACAGGCCTTTGGGCCACACACTACAGGGGCCTCTCTGGACAAGGTGACAGTGCAGAGGCTCCTCACTGGCCGCCTGCACAGGGCCAAGGCCTGTGAGGTGCTCAGACTGTAGAGATGGGAGGTGGATCAAGGAAGAGGCCAGTGTTCACCCTGGAACACAGTCAACCCTCTGGGAATATGGAAATTTTTTCACAAGGGGGAAGTGCGTGTGGAGAAGCAGTTGTAGGAATGTGTGAGAGCACCTTCCAAATAAGGACTTAAAACATGTCATTTTGATAACAGTGCTAGAAATACCATCTCACATGTAGATCACATATAACCCATTAGTACATTTGTCCTAAATTAAGTGTTCCTTTGGTCTGTTTCACCTAGCAGTTAGAAATTGAACTTTCTAATGTCTTTTCCATATGACAAAAGACCTTCAAATTTTGTTTGTTAAGTACCCCGAAATCCATCTGGAAATAGAGTATTTCCATAACTCTGTAATCCTCAGATTTGGCAGTTCTCATTGTTTTTTCCCCATCACCAGAAGTGTTTTGTCCTTATGAAGTTTTTTGAGGAATGAAAGGAAATAATGGAATTGTTTTATTCCTTTAAAGGCTTGGTTATCAACATTAACCTAATAAATATATTTCAAATCAAATAAAAAATGTTAAGCACTATACTTCAAGAACTACACTAGACTGTTAGGAAGATAATAAGAAAAATTAGGCAGTTTTTGTCTTAAAGAAGCATATAAAGACATAGCTAGAATTCACAGAAAGGTAAATGTAATACTGCCTCTTTATACAGAGTTCATAATATGACAACTTTAGTTATCCAGCTAGTCCAGAAACAGTCTTAAGAGTAAATTCCAGTTGTATCAAATGTACAGAATGTGGGGCACCTTCACTAAAACCCATCCATGGGAAAGCCAGGCTGTCGTGGCAACCACACACCCATGGGCATCATTTGTCTTGCCCTGTGGGGTGCATGTGTCTCATGGACAAGTGCCAGAGCAGCCCTCTAGGGAACAAGACTGTCAAAGCCAAAGTGACTGCCATATAGAGTGCATGTGCTAAAGTTTATGTACTTTGTTTGTAGGATTACCCCTCAGCCTCACATAGTTGCTCATTTACTTATATTTTATGCATAATTCTCATTTGCCAAAACATGTCAAGTTAAAAATAGCAAAATGTTCAGAGACAGTGGGAGTTGTGTATGGGGTGTATTGTGCATCTAAGGAGACCCGTTCAACAAGCATGATACTGTGTTATCACCACTGATACCAAGAACATCGGTACAAACACAGCACCAGAACACCTGGCTGTGTGGGGAATGTTAGTGTAACTCTTAGGATATTATGGATTTGTAATTTAGTTATTGTATTGTGAATGATGAAAACCTGAAATCAGTGAAAGTTTATTTATAAAATGCATTTTTAAGACAACGGGGAGTTTAAAATACATTTTTTTAAGTTTCACCAGTCAATAGTTAAAATAAATTTTATCAACTTAAAATGGTAACGTGACCTAAAAAAATTTTACTAGCTATTCATTTAGCAATATTGCAAATAAAATTTCCACACAACTACAGAAGAAAGGTTATATGGACACATATCATAAAGTCAAATGTTAAATACCTGATAAACTTTCTTCATCAATAACCTGAAGATTGTTCTCATTGATTTTAAGTTCTTCTAATGTAGACGGTAGTTCTGAAGGAATCGCTACCAAATTGTTTCCATCCATATTCAGGCGCATTAACTTCTTTAGAAGCTTAAAAGGCAAATCTCAAAATTACTTTTTTATCTTGTCACAGATGTACAGTCATATATGTCATTTAATGGTCAGTTTGTGGTAGTTACTAAAGTTTCACGAACCTTCAGTTGCTCAGGCTTAGACAAGAATCCCCATATTCTCCCTGCCACGTAGATGTTGGTCCTGTTAATAGCATTTATTCCCTGGTATTTTCAGCAAACTACATTTGGTGATTTTGCATCACACTCACCCATATTTTTATGGTGACTTTAGAAAGCAAGAGAACGCTCCTATCACCACTGGATCAGTCATATTTTCCTAGATCTTAGGTTTTCAACTTCTCAGCAGTAGACACAAAGTTAATTAAAACATGCAATAATCTGAATCTGTCATAGATGCTAACAAGACAGCAATTTGAACCCTTTCAATGTGTTTGTGAACTCAGTTTTCCATCTATACTAAGTAGAGACAGAGTCATAAAATAGCACTAACGATTGTGGAAATTCTTCAAAATTAAATGCTACAAATGTAACAAACTGTTTCTATATGGTACCCAAACAGTTTTGACTGTCTGGAGAGTGCATATCCACATTTGTTTGTTAGCCAAACTAACCTACACTACCAAAGTTACAGAATGATTTACATCAGTGGTGCTCAGAGTCAATTTCAGCAGTTTGGAAATGGGACAGAGAATCCCAAAACAAGAAAAAGGTAATTTCCTACAGTGTCCTCTTTTTTGATCAAATACAGGAAATGCACAAGTCCCAACTGTTGTTCTATCAGGACGACTAGCATGAGGCAGGACTCCAGGTCTTTCACATGAACGTGGACACCAAGTGTCTGGAGCTCTCTCGTCTGCAGTCCAGAATCTATATGAGAACCAGGAACTGAGCTTGTAAGAGGCCAGTGATTTGTCCAAAGAGTGGACAGAAGACCACCCAAGGGGATAAAGTTTGACCTCCTGGCATGTAACTTGTTTTACTTGGGCTTCTTTAAGCGCACACATTTATGAGTATTTGTTTACACACATAAACCCCTCCTTTCTTCTGCCTTTGTTTTTCTGAAAGTCCTTGATACTCTGTTTTCTCCCTTTTAGAAAAAAATTTTAAATCTGATTCTTTCAAAGGTTTACTCTATGCTTTTCTCTTTCCCTAGCGTATCCCCATGTTAATTTTCATCTGAGCCCATTTGTCTTTCTAGAACCCCCTCCTGCTGAAGTATCCTTTATCAGATTTTGCAGATAGCACAAAATAAGGAAATTTTGTATTGCTGGCCTGAAAATGTTAACAGAATTTCCAGATAAGCTCTCCTTTTTTCCCAGAAATACCTCATGTACTAAGAGACCATATTTCAACATGTTTTCTGCTACTTAGGGAGAAACTCCTCTATAAATTCAAAACATTAGTTTTGTCATTCATGCTGTTGTGGGTGCTTTAAGGACAAAGCATAGGAAAAACAGCTAGAAACCTATAAAACAATATACTATATTCAAGATAAAACTTGACTACAGTTTAGGGACATCAGAAACTTTCTTCAGAGAAAACTCCAGTAAAACATTTTACTTTTCCTTCCTTCTCCATCTCCACCCACTGACAGTACAAGTCATGAAAAAGCCATCCACGTGGATTGTTAGAAGTCAGAGCATGTTATTTACCTTGAATGCTTTTGGACCTATGCCTGAAGAGGTGATATTATTTCTGCTCAGATCAAGCCTTTCCAAATTCGGTAATCCATTAAATGCTTCGTCCGGAATGGAGGTGATAGAATTGCCTAGGACACGTAGCAATTGTGTTTTAGGCCTATGTGCCTATAAATACATGTATACATGCACATGCATAGATAGCAAAAGAGAGCTTTATCTGGAGGAAAAGCAATACTTATAGCAAGGACAATATGTATTAAATAAGAAAATGAGTGTTTAGGAAAAAAACAAGACTGGGACTAGACTATTTCATATGGTCAAAATTTTCACTCTAAGGACTTGTCATGCTCCAGTACATCATGTTTTAGATGAAGCTGCTTTAAAACAGCCAGAATGTGGTTTGGTAGACAATTCTGTTAACATTATGCATTTTACAACAAAGATGTGTTTATGGAAGGTGCTATAGAGACTGATTTTTATAGTTCTTTGTATTTCCCTATTGACATTTCCTAGACCCTGGACCAGAAATATACTGTGTTTTACAATGAAACCCTGGGCATGTGACTTGCCTTCTTTGAGCATCAGTTTCCTCTAAGTAAGAAGCTTGGGGAGATAATCTCTCAGATTGCCTCCAGATCTTGTTATAATTCTGTGACTTCAATCTATAGAAGTTCCTGCATGCTTTAATTTATGGGGTTTTGGTTTGACATTTAATTAAGTACAGTAGTCAATGATTTTTAAAGCCAGAAAATGAGCTTATCAGAAATAGTGAGTACTATAAAAATCATGTGGTGTCCTTCTTATAAAACCAAGATACTGTGACTGAGCACAGGTCATTCATTCATCTTTCATAAGACTTTAGACTTTCACAATTTGTTTTGTTTTGTTTTGTTTTAATGGCAGAGCACACCTGGCATGCAGGCTACAGAAGGAGGGGGCATTGCTGGAGCAGGACACTCTGGGCATGAGAAGAATTCCTTAGGAGGTCATGTGAACATGGTATCAGGAAGGCCATAACACCAGAAATGTCCTATTGCAGATTGGCTATCCTGATTAAAGGGGTCACGCTGTGACCATTGAGTATTTATTTATACGATCATTTATTATTTCTGTGGTAGTTTATTTCTGTTACTTCCCCCAAGACACATCTGAAACCCCACTCAGATTCTCTCACCCCTGCATCTTCAGAGCTATCCCCAGCATGGGCCTTATTGCCAAGACTCATTCACTGTCCCAGTCTCCCCACCAGCCAGCCTCACACACGTATCTGTCCTGCCATTCCTCCACTCAGAGCTCTTCCTGGCCCTATAAGAATGTGGGCAAAAAGTCTGGACCACTCCATGCCTACCACAATGGCTAAAACAAGGGGGGGAAACAACAGGAACTCTCTGATATTGCTGGAAGGAGTGTCACAGCCATTTTAAGGAACTGTTTGGCAGTTTCTTATAAAGTTAAACATGCTTTTACTGTAGCACTCGGCAATCCCACTCCTGGGTATATACCCTAGGAAAAAGAAAACTTAGGTCGGCACAAACATCCATATGTGGATGTTTATAGCAACTGTATGCATAATTGCCCCAAGCTGGAAATAATCCAGATGTTCTTCACCTGAGACCTGTGGTCTGTCCAAACAACAGAACACCTCTCAAAAGTAAGGAGGAGCCAGCTACTGATAAACGCCACAACCTGCATAGCCCTCAGAAGCATTATGATAAATGAAAGAAGTCCATCTGAAAAGGCTACATGCTGTATGATTCCATTTCTATGACATCCTAGAAAAGGTACTCTAGAGACAGAAAACATCAGGGCTGGTGAAAGGAGGGACATGAGAGAATTTGGTGAGGTGATGGAAATGTTATATCTTGATTGTGGTATTGACTGTAAGCATTTGTCAAAACTCAAAGCATAACAGGGACTTCCCTGGTCGTCCAGTGGTTAAGACTTCACCTTCCAATGCAGGGGCTGCAGGTTTGATCCCTGGTTGGGGAGCTAAGATCCCACATGCTTTGCGGACAAAAAAACAAAACGTAAAGCAGAAGCAATATTGTAACGAATTCAATAAAGACTTTAAAAATGGTCCACATCAAAAAAAAAAATCTTAAAAAAACCCTCAAAGAATAACATGCTAATAATGTTTTACTATATATAAATTATACCTTCTAAACCTGGCTTTAGAAAAAAGTCAATAGGAAATCATGGTTTCACTTGGAGGAATTTACTTTATACCTGATGGTGCTATTCTGCAGTAAACACCTATCTCTTCTGCAAAGTTTTTATGTTTGAAGATTGTGAAATTAATCTGTTTGGGGTCAACTTATATTATAAAATTAAAATATAACATTCATAGGACAATGGGAGTTAACCACAAAATCAATTTAACGTCAACATCTCTTACCTATGAGCTCCAGACTTGTTATCTCTGGTGCTGTTAGCGGTGGTATTTGTGTGAGGTCAGCGCTGATACAGGAGATGGTTTTGTATGACAGAGAGCACCTGCTTGGCAGAGGTGGTATGCCCCTGGGGGTAGCTGGGATTGGGAGTTGAGAGGGCATCCTGAACATATCTCCTCTGACGGCGTCATCGTCATCCTCGTCCTCATCCTCGTCCTCATCCTCATTCTCATTCTCCCTTGCTGGGTTTCTGTGTTGATGGGCCTGCCTCCCCTTCTCTCCAGGTCTCTGCTCTCCCCCTTCTCTGCTCTGTCGCTCATTGGGAGGTCTCCCCCAATCTCCAGGTCTAGGGATCTTTTCCTTTTGCTCCCTATCTTCATCTTGTTTAATTTCTTCTTCCTCCTCAAATTGAAGTTCCTCTTTTCTCAGTGCTTGATGCATTTCCACCCAAGGAGACGGCTGTTGCTTATGAAGTAAACTGGTAGGTTCTCTTTGTTCTGAAGAATCACCAGAAAATTCAGTTCTGTCATTTAATGCTATACTACTGAGTAGCAAATAGGAGGCTACTGACCACATAAGGAGAAGACAGCAGGGGCAAGTTGTGGTATTAATGAAAGGAAAAATCATAGTGAAAATTAGGTTAGTAAATAACATTCCCTGTAGGTATATGAGTGCAGTTTAAATGTGAAATGTATCTTGAAATTTTTGTTTGAAGTTTTAATAGAAATAAATAAACTTTATTTCTGTTTTGTAAGACTTTATAGGCAATTCTTGTTTTTCCTTGTGAGCCTTAATACTTATTTTTACTAAAGTATCATGCTATCTGGTGACTAAAGAGGGAATAATATTACCATATATTGCTTACCATAAGCAGTCCTATTGTGAGATTGTAATATAATCAGATGTGATAACTTTATAGTAGATACTGTTCAGTTAATTGGGCTTATTGATAATGTAAGAATTTGTACACTGTCAGACATAAAAAAGTGAAAGAGATGTACCTTTTACTTGTTTATGGTAGTGAAATTGGCTTTTATTTATAGATTTATTATATCTGTCTGATTTTCTTTCAGCTCCATGGGCCTAAAAGCATCCTCTGAAATTTAGAGTTATAGAAAATTCTCTTCTGTTTTCCTCCCAGACTCTGTACTTAAATTATTTTTACTTCTTGAGACCTATAGAAGATGTCCTGGATTTAGATGATGTTTCTTTAACCTAGACATATGCACAAGAGTACTTTTTATTATTCCATGATGATGATAGCATAATATATAATAATAGAAAGTTTATCTACATTTGTATTTAGCTGTTATTATCTTTGGCAGAAAGTGGGGAAGACTTGACAAAGACCGGATTTTAGACTCACCCTCTGAATGAAGAGTTTTAGGGAAAAGTGAGCTCAGTACATAGATTTTCTTTCATCAAAATATAAAAATTTACTTAATCATTTCTATGATTTTATTTAATGCCATACATAAATCACCCCCAAAAAAGAACTCAAAATATAATTATGTGAAGGAATTACTTGAGATTTCAAGTCAGTATGTATTATAAAGTCTGTGAGTTATTTTTTTCACATCTCTGACAGAACATGCAAAAGGAGAGTAGGAAAAAATCAGCAAAATGAAACTAAAACTATCATATTGAAACGTTTAAAATCTTTTCTGTATATCCAAGTTTATTTTTCCAAAATAACCACAGCATTTCAAGAATAATAGTTCAAGTCCTTTGAAAAATGTCTGAGAATTTCTGGATCTTGCCTTTATAAATCTTCTGTTTCATATCCCAAGGAGTCAGTTTCATTAAAAACTTTTATTTTCTAACATTTTTTAAAGTCATAATAGCTTAGTAAAATAATTAGTAGTATACACCAAAATACAGTTCCTAAATGTTCTGATGTTCTTCCTGGTAGGAGACTTTTGTAGGTAACCACCCTGTGATCATCCTGTGTGCTTGGAAACAATCTACCTTGATCATAGGCAACAGAAAATATCTGTATCCCTTCCCATCGAATTATTTAACACATATTTATTTATTTCATAAGCTATTGGCCAGGCTTTTCTTGCAGGAGTCCTGAGGCTTCCTCCCTAGAGTCCTCTACTGCATCAGCCTCATAGATAAGGCACAGTGAGCAGCCAACAAAACCTCATAGTGTGATCTTTCTGTGCACAGCAGTGCCACAACAGAAAGCCACTGCTCCAGGGCCATTGCCCTTTATTTCCCTAGGATTGCCTGAGCAGTAATGACTGCACATAGACTGGGAAAACTGCACATAGACTGGGAAAACTGGGAAAACTGGGCTTTTTCTCTAGATGCAAACCACTCCTCCCTTTGTTCACCATGAGTTCTTCATCTTCATTTGGGTTGATAACTGTAAACACACTGAGTTGAATTAAGTGAGATAATGCATGTAAGGAACTAAGCAGAGTTCTTCACGCATACTAAGAACATGGGAGCTGTTTGCTATGTAAATTCTATCACTACATCTGTAATGCTGCGAGTCAAATGTGGAATGTGATCTGGTCTGAGTTTACTCATTCTAATAGAGCTAGAACTCTAAAGCCAAGATGTTTTATTTTTCTCTCCCCTATCATGCAATTTCCCAAATAATTTCCATGTTTAGCATCATTGTGCCAATATTTTAAGTACCCTGATGACTAGTTTATCATAATTTAAAATTTAAGGTAGTGACAAAATAAAAACAAATGGAAGTTAAAGACTAAATCACATGTGATATTTTGTTTGGGCTAAATATTTGTACCAGTATCAGAGCAGACGGGGCAGCATTCTCCTTCAGGTGTAACTGTTTGGGGGCACATCTGAGGGTGGCACTTGGTCTCATCACAAAGGACTCTTCCATTCGAGCAGAGGCAGGTAGTGCAGGGCTCAGGAGACCATACAGCTTTGTTATACATGATCATCCCATTTGCCAAACAGTGTCCTTTCTTTCCTAGAAGAGAACAGTAACATTTAAATTCCTTGTATGATTACTAGCACTTGTGAATGGAAGTGAGCCCAATGTGATAGACCCACACAAGAATAACATTCTATGTTCTTTCATGCAGAGGATAAAAGTATCTTATAGGTGTAACCCTCTGAAATGCTTTTCACATGCTGTATTCTCAACCCCTCTTACTTAGGCTCTGAGAGTGACCTCCTCATGGTAACTTGAGCCTGAATCGTACTTCCATCCTGCATCTGTCAGGATGGCTAAGTTATACAACAGCAACAAACAACCCCCAAATCTCAGTTATTTCTTGTTCCTACTATGTGTCCAATGTAGATATTGTCAGGATAAAAAATAGGCTTCATCTCCAAGCAGGCTGCCCTGATGACCAGCACAGCAGTGGGAATGTGAGGTTGCAAATAACACACAAGCTCTAAACATGTCTAATTATATTGACCAAGGCAAATTATACGGCTACATCTAACTTCAGAAGAGAAAAAGCAGTATAGTTCCATCACATGCCAGAGAGCAGAGAGCTGGAACAGCACTAATGATGAATGAGCCCACATTGTACCCTTCCTGATGTGCAGATGGAGAGGTGAAATAAGACTGTATGCTTGTGGTGCTTTTTACGTTGAATTCTCGATGAGACATTGCAACAATCTCTTATTTTTTAGAATAGTTGTGTTATTGAAATACAATTCAAATACCCTTTTAAAGTACACAGTGCAGTGGGTTTTAGTATATTGTTTTCTCTACATAGAGTGTTGTAGATACATGGATATGTGTGTCAACTAAGCAGGCCATTAGACAGTCAATTTGAATATTAGAGGGGATGTTTTCCTTCCAATCCTAGTGTTATTCCTGATAACTCTTTTCCATCTGTTGAGCCACTGTCCCCGCAAATGAGCTCTCACATTTGTCCCCTTCTTTCCCTTACTGCTGTGTCAACCCTGTTCAAGCCCTACCCATCTCTCATTTGGATACTTACAGTAAACTAATCCCACCCATCCAATTTCTCCCCTGGAAAAAAAAAATAGATATAATCAGGAGTTGTCTCCTGATTATAAAAGTACTATAGTGTATCAAAATTCCAACAGCCTTTTTTGCAGAAATGGAAAAGTTAATCCTTAATTTCATAAGGAATTATAAGGGGCCCCAAATAGCCAAAAAAAATCTTGAAAGAAAATAAAATTTTTTGAGGGCTCACACTTCCAGATTTCAAAACTTACCACAAAGCTACAATAATCAGCTTATACCAGTATGGTACTGGCATAAGGATAAACATATAGACCAGTGGAATATTGAGAGTCCAGAAATAAACCCATTACATCTATGGCCAATTGATTTTTGACAAAAGTGCCAAGCCCATTCAATGGGGAAAAAAGTTGTCTCTTCAACAAATGGTGCTGGGACAACTGTATATCCGTATGCAAAAGAATGAAGTTGCCCCCTACCTCATGCCAAATATAAAAATTAACTCAAAATGGATCAAAACCTAAATATAAGATGTAAAATATAATATTCATAAAATAAAGCATGACCTTGGATTTCGCAATGGATTTTTAGATATGATTCCAAAAGCACAAGCAACAAAAGAAAAAATAGATGAATTGGACTGTATCAAAATTTAAAATTTGGTCCATTGGAGAACATTGTCAAGAAAGTCGAAGGACAATGTACACAATGAGAGAAAATATTTGCAAATCATATCTGATAAGGGTCTAATATCTTGAATATACATGAAGAACTCTTATAACTCAACAACAGAAAGCCAGCCCAATTAAAATATGGACCTTGAATAGACATTTCTCCAAAGAAGATATACAATGAACAATAAGCACATAAAGAGATGCTGAGAGTCATTAGGGAAATACAAATTAAACCACAATGTGATAACCACTTCACATCCACAAGAATGGCTATATTTTTTAAATGGAAAATAATGGCAAGGATATGGAGAAATTGGAGTCTTTGTATATTGCCGGTGGGTATATAAAATGATATAGCTTCTCTGGGGAACATTTGGCAATTTCTCAATAAATTAAACATATAATTACCACATGACCCAGCTCCTAGATACCTGATATTCCACTTCTAGGTATATACCCAAGGGAACTGAAAACGAGAATTCAGATAGAAACTTGTACACAAATGTTCGTAGCTGTGCTATTCACAGTAGCCAAAAGGTGGAAACAACGCAATTATCCATCAATGGATGAAAGGATAAACAAAACATGGTATTTCTCTGCAATGAGATATAATTCAGCATAAAAAAAGAATGAAGTACTGATACACTGTACAACATGAGTGAACCTTGAAAACATTATGCCAAGTAAAAGAAGTTAGACATCAAAGGCCACATATTATAGGACTCCTTTTATATTAAATATTCAGAATAGGCAAATTCATAGAGACAGAAAGATCAGTGGTTGCCAGGGATTGCGGGGAGGAGAAAATGGGGAGTAAGTGCTTAATATATATGTAGTTCCCTTTTAGGGTGAAGAAAGTGTTCAGGAACAAGATAATGGTGACGGTTGCACAACATTGTGAATATACTTAATGCCACTGAATTGTACACTTTTAAATGGTTAAATGATAAGTTTTATGTCATGTGTATTTTACCACAATTTTTTTTTCTTTTTTTTTTGCGGTACGCGGGCCTCTCACTGTTGCGGCCTCTCCCGTTGGCAGAGCACAGGCTCCGGATGCGCAGGCTCAGCGGCCATGGCTCACGGGCCTAGCCGCTCCACAGCATGTGGGATCTTCCCGGACCGGGGCACGAACCCGTGTCCCCTGCATCAGCAGGCGGACTCCCAACCACTGTGCCACCAGGGAAACCCACAATTTTTTTAAATTGTACTGTAAGACCACTGGAAAACATTTTAGGACAATTTAGAAATCTTTCGTATACATCTTCTATACCTTTTAATGCACATCACCCTATGCTGCATATTTTTTAAAACAGATTTGAGATCACATTATGCATACTACTTTTCAACCTTTTTATTTTCTATTATTATAGCTTGGATATCTTTCCACTTAATTAGGGAAATTGACCTCATCGTTCTTTAAGAGTTATGGGTACCCTATAATCATCATTTTAAATTCCCTGCCTCCAGGCTCTTTCTTCTCTCAATCATGTTGTAAATGTGACCTAAATTGTCTCTTTTCATGGTAATTGTATGTTATTTCTGTTAACTTCGTGGAAATAACATCATTTAGAAGCATTTGGTTTTCTTGAGACAATGTATGAAGTATTGGTCACAGAACATTATGTGGTGATACATTCTTTTGAAAGTTTTATGTAATGGTACCATATGTATAATATAATTACTTTTTCCTTCCAAACCTGGAAAAATGTGGACCAACTAAATATTAGTGTTTAAAAATGCCTAGTTGAAATCTTCGGAAGAATTTCCAATCTTTTCAAACTTTAAAAATTCAGTAGTTTGGTCTATATAAAATAAATTCAGTGGCTTAACTTCATGTTTGGTTGAAAATATTTAATAGCCGTGAGTTCATAGACTCATCTGAATCATTTATTTCTATATCCTAGATGATCTATCATGATAAATGAAAAAGCAGTTTTGACATGTATATTACTATATTATGATTACAACTATTTTAAGTACATGGCATAGTAAACAGACTAGAAATAATAAACCAAAATAGTAACTATGATTTTATAAATGTAGTTATAGGATAAGTAATATTTTTTCTGTTTTACAATAATTTGTATTATAAGTATATTCTGTGAATGGTTTTTTAAATTATTTCAAAATTTATCTTTGTAGATTAAACCAAAAGATAATATAATAACTTGAATTATTAAAAAATTTTCTTTTTGGAGTTTCTCTCTCTTCCTCTCTCCTACTGTTTTCTTACCTGGTAACACATTATAGCTTGCTTCTACTCCGGGAAATCTTAAAAAGGATTCAAACTTTTCCTCCGTACTATAATCCAAGTTAACCATGGGAAGTGTTGCTGCTGGTGTAACTATCCTCATTTGCTGAATTCCAAGCTGTCTACTGGATCTGTGGATGGGCGAGGAACTTTTTCTCTGTCTTCTATAATACATCTTCCTTCTTTCCTTCCTAGAAGTTTCTTCATTTTGTCCAAAGTCAGTTTGAATAACGAGAAGCAGAAGAAAACAATACAAGCTTGAAAACTTCATGCTTGCTTTTTCACTATTTGATTCCTAGGATGAGAATGAAACAGAATTTCAGAGTTAGTGACTAAATTTTTACCTCTGAAAATTGGCCTATAATTGCCTATATCCCTCAGCAGCAAGCCTGTGAGATATAACACATATAATATATGGGCTCTATGCTATAGTATTACTGCCAAGTCAGAATTTAGAATTTTTCTGTCAGAATCAAATAATTTTTAGTACTTTATTGCTAGACCAGACATGAGCAAACTTTTTCTATAAAGAACCATATAGTAAACATTTTAGGTTTTACAGGCCATGCAGTCTTTGTCATAACTACTCCACTCGACCCTTGTAACATGAAGGTAGACAATATGTACACAGTTTATGTATGTGATATGTACACAGTTTGTGTACGTGATATGTGCACAGTTTGTGTACATTATATGTGTACAATTGTGTACACAAATTCCAAAACAGGCAGTGGGTCAGACTTACCCCCCAGGCCATAGTGTGCCGACCCCTCTCTGGACCACTGTGTTGTAGGTTTTCAGAGGTTACTCAGGAGGTTTCTCTCCACCTCTCTGCCAAGTCATTCTGTGACTAACATCATCCACAATTCATTTTCCCAGCTCTTATATTTTATTATTTTATTCTCTACTGTTCTAATTTTCTTTGTTGGGGGGAAAGAGCATAATTGCACCAAATAAAAATAACAGCAAACAGCAAACTACTATCAGTTATAAAGAGGTAAGAGGGACAAAGAGTAACTTTTAATCAGCTGGTCTCAAGAGGAGTACAGGGCCCTGCACATGGTGAAGCTGAAAAACATATTTGAGAAATGAATACTTTTTCAAACCTTGAACATGGATTAGCACAGAACAGAAATCCCTGAGAGGGGGAAAATCCAAGTTGAGCTCCTGCTCACTGCCTGGAGGGAGTTCCTTCCGAGGCTGAAGACCAGGGTGAGGACCCAGGCAGAGCCCAACAATCTCCCTGAGTTGAAAAAAGAAACCGAAAAACCTGGGGTCCTGGGGATGCCAGAGAGGCAAGAGTTTGCAGAGCAGAGCACAGAGAGGTGAGAGCTACCCTGAAAAAGACTTCCAAAGATATCAAGTCTTCAACCGAGTATGATTAGCACATTTGTATGAGAAAACTACTCAACACTTGAGAAAGAACTACCATGAAGGACAAAAAGAAAACATCCTTTAGGCTAGAAAAGGCTGGGCAGACTCTGTGTGTCCACCAGTCATAGTGGAGAACCTGTACTGCAAAGGGCATCAGACAGAGTGCTCAGAAGGGCATCGGCACATCAGAGAAAACAATTTACCCTAGACTAACGGCTGATCTGATCCCATTTACAGCACTGAATAGCAAGCCTCCAGAAAGGATCAAACTGTGTGCAACAACTTAACTATGTCCCAGAGCACCCAACAAGTACTGGGAAATCCAGCAAAAATTTACCAGGCACACAAAGAAACAGGAATTATTGACCCATGATGAGGAAAATCAATCTATTGAAACCCATCCATAGCACAGCTGACATAATTATTAAGTAGGTCATTAAAAGTTATTAAAACCATAATCTGCGTGTTCAAGAACATAGAGGAAAGATATTTAAAGAAATCCAAATTGAACTTTTAAAGATGTAAACTACAATGTGAGAGAGGAAAAACTATACTGCAAGGGATGAATAGCACATTAGACACTGCAGGAAAAAATTAGTAAACTTGTAAACATAGTCACAGAAATTATCCAAAATGAAACACACACACACACATGACCAGTAAAAAACATGAACAGAGCATCTTCAAACTATGGGACAACTTCAAGAAGATCAATTTATGTCCAGTTCCAGTCCCTGAAGGACTAGGGAGGCACAAAAATATTTGAAGAAATAAAGACTGGTCATTTTCCAAATTTGATGAAAACTATAAACCCACATATCCAAGATCAATAAACCCCCAAAATAAGAAATATGAAGAAAATTTTGTCAAATATTCATCATAATCAAATTGCTTTAAAACCAGTAATAAGGGGAACATCTTAAAAGTGACCAGAGAAAAAGACACAAAGTTAAGAATAGAATAAAAGACTTCTCATTCAAAACAGTACAAGCCAGAAGACAGTGGAACAATGACTTTCAGGTACTGAAAAAAATCAACTTATATACTCAGTGATAATGTCTTTCAGAAACACAGGCAACATAAAGACTTTTTCAGACATAGAGAAGCTGAAGGAATTAATCACCAGCAGAATTGCACTGTAAGAAATGCTAAAGTAGAAGGAAAATTATATCAGATAGAATTATGGATCTACACAAAGGAATGAATATCACAGGAAATGGCATATATGTAGATAAATGCTCTTTTTTATTTTTAAATCTCTTTAAAAGATGCTAGTTTAATACAGTCATCTGTTTAACAGTTGTGTTGATTAATATAATAATACTGTATTTTGGGGTTTCTACCTTAAGTGAAAGTAAAATGTATGACAACAGAAGCAGAAAGGAGGAAAGAGGAAGTGTAAATATACTGTTATGTTCTAATACTATAAGCAAAGTGGAATATCAACTGAAGATAATTGTAATAAGTTAAAGATGCATACTATAAGCCCTAAGGTAATCACCAAAAAAACAAGAGTTATAGCTAATAAACCAATAAAGGTGATAACGTGGAGTAATAGAAATAATCCAAAACATATTACATGTAAATCATATTAAATGTGAATTTATTAATTGCCACAGAGACTGTCCACATTGAATTTTTAAAAATTAAGACCCAACTCTAGGGACTTCCCTGGTGGTCCAGTGGTTAAGACTCCATGCTCCCAATGCAGGGGGCCTGAGTTCAATCCCTGGCCAGGGAACTAGATCCCACATGCATACCACAACTAAGAGTTCACATGCCACAACTAAGGAGACTGCAGCCTCAACTAAGACCCACCACAACAAAATAAAATAAAACAAAATAAAATAAAATCCCAACTCTATGCTGCCTATAAGAAACTCATGCTAAATAAAGATACAAATGGATTAAAATTAAAAGGATGGAAAAATATATACTTTGGTAACACTAATCAAAAGAAAAGTGGGGGCTTCCCTGGTGGCACAGTGCTCAAGAATCCGCCTGCCAATGCAGGGGACACAGGTTCAAGCCCTGGTCCGGGAAGAGCCCACATGCCGTGGAGCAACTAAGCCGGTGCGCCACAACTAAGCCTGCACTCTAGAGCCTGCGAGCCACAACTACTGAGCCCATGTGCCACAACTACTGAAACCCACATGCCTAGAGCCCGTGCTCCACAAAAGAGAAGCCACCGCAGTGAGAAGCCTGTACACTGCAATGAAGAGTAGCCCCCGCTCGACTCAACTAGAGAAAGCCCACGCGCAGCAATGAAGACCCAATGCAGCCAAAAAAATAAATAAATAAAATAAAGTTTTAAGAAAAGACATATTTAACTCAATAAAAAAAGTGGATGGCTATATTAATATAAGATGAAGAAGAATAAAGAGAGCCATTATGTAATGATAAAAGGATCTATTCATGAAGATGTAACAATTCTAAGCCTTTATACACTGAACAGTACAGATTCAAATTACATGAAGAAAAAAACTGGTATAGCTGCAAGAACTAGACAAATCCACAGTTATCATCCAGAATTTCTACTTTCTTCTCCCAAATCTGGATTTTTAAAATAGTAGATCACAAGCTAAAACAACAAGATAGCACTGTACCCTGTTAGAATGGCCAAAATCAAAAACACTGACAAATTGTGAGGTAAGGGTGTGTAGCAACAGGAACTCTCATTTATTGCTGGTGGGAATACAAAACCATACAGCCACTCTGTAAGACAGTTTGGCAATTTCTTACAAAACTAAACATACTCTTACCCTGCAATCCAGCAGTCATGCTTCTTAATATTTACCCACATGAGCTGAAAACTTATATCCACACCAAAACCTGCACATGGATGTTTACAGCAGCTATATTCATAACTGCCAAAGCTTGGGAACAACCAAGACATCCTTAAGTAGGTGAATGGATAAATAAACTGTGTTACATCCAAACAGTGGAGTATTATTCAGCACTAAAAAGAAAAGCTCTCAAACCATGAAAAGACATGAAAGAATCTTAAATGCTTATTACTAAGTGGAAGAAGCCAATCTGAAAAGGCTAGTACAGTGTGACTGCAACTACATGGCGTTCTGGAAAAGACAAAACTGTGGAGACAGTACAGACATACTTCGTTTTATTGCACTTTATCATGCTTCACAGATACTGCATTTTTTAACAAATTGAAGGTTTGAGGCAACCCTGCATCAAGCAAGTTTATTGGCACCTTTTTTCCAACAACATTTGCTCACTTCATGCTGTCACATTTTGGTAATTCTCACAATATTTTAAACTTTTTCATTATTACCAAATTACTATATTTGTTATGGTGATCTGTGATCAGTGATCTTTGATGTTACTGTTGCAAAAAGATTATTATGCTCTGAAGGCTCAGATGATGGCTAGCATTTTTTTAGCAATAAAGTATTTTTTAATTAAGACAGGAACATTGATTATCTTTTTAGACATAATGCTATTGCACATTAAATAGAATACAGTATACTGTAAACATAACTTTTATATGCACTGGGAAACCAAAAAAAATTGTGTGATTCCCTGTGTTGCAGTATTAGCTTTATTGTGGTTGTCTGTAACCAAACACACAACATCTCTGTGGTATGCTTATATGCTTATTTAGTCAGAGTTGCATGTTCATTGATTTATGATCCTACTTTCAGTTTGTGTTTTCATTGTGGCCAGGTGATGCTTTTGCTTCCTAGCAATCTATATCATTTATAATGGTGCTTCACTGTATAGAACTCAGATTTTGAATGAATCTTTGAAGTCATCTGCTTTTCCAGTAATGGGAAGTTCTTTATCTTCCATGTTCAGACAGCTCTGTCAGAAAAGTCTTCCTTAGATTGAGCTACAATTTGTTGTTCATATCATGGCCCATAAGAGATTTACAGATAAGCCATGTTCACACAGTTTTCTTTC